TTTTAAATTATTTTTAATTAAAACTTACGGCACAGCGATAATTTTTTTATATTATGTAATATTATGTTAACGTTTAGTAACAATAATAAAATATTATTAAAACACTCATATACTGTTAGAATTATGAAACAAAAAATACATTTTATTGTTCATTGTAGTAATTGAAAGTATAAATTTTTTTCGCTCGAATAAATAAATAATATCGTTAAACGTTGTTTCATATATTTGAAAATAATAAATTATGTTTATAATTTAAACCGATATCGTTACGGTTGCTCGTTAAACAGAATGTGTGCATATTTTAATAGTTTTGAAGTGCTTGGGCTTCCGGTCGCTGAATATGACCCTCTCAACATGTGTGCATTAGGGAACAGGAAATTATACTCGAAACTGAACGGCTAAAAACCACTGATAATGATTCGTACAATATTCTGTAGTAAAATATAAACAAAAAACTAACCTACATCGGTTGAATAAAATATGCCCTATTAGGTTCATGCAGCAATATTTCAGACGTGCATGGACATATTATATTTATATTACAGAACAATAATAATGGACATATATTATTATATTATATTTCATTTCGTTTCATTTCATAGAACGCATAAACGTAACATTTAGATCAAATTCCATTTTTGGTTTTTTATTACCATTATTTTTTTAGAACAACATATCCTAATATCGTATGGTACATAACAACTATCATTATAATAACCCTTTTCGATTCGATGCTCTTTAGGTGCACATCACGTTTTGTTATTGTTTTTCTTTTCATTTTATTATTTTTTTTTTTTAAACCATATACACATAGTAACGGCAACTGCATTGAAAATCGACGACACGCTTTATATGTTTACATTGTTCACCAATATGGCATTTTAAATTAAAAACAAATAATACATATGTCGAACAGGAGAATATAAAAAAGACTGACTATACGTCTTGTAAATGTTTCCGAATCACCCACGACCTCCATCTTTTTGACACTAATGGTTCTTAAACAGTATAATATGTATATTATGTATATCAGTACAAATGTAGCTTTTTTTTCATTGACAACCATGAACAAAAATCGATTTTTCCGATAATATCACCCAATCACAATGTGGAGAATATAATTATTTAATATAGGTAAAAACATGGTAGAATCATTGGGTTTAGCAAAGAAGATGGAACTTAAGATAATGGAAGTTCCACTGATAATAAGCTGATCGATTTGTTTACAACAGTATAGAGATGAAACGACGTTGTATTATGGCCAGCCAATAATATTTTGAAATTCGGTAGGTAGTGTGCATTTGGTTATTTGTTTTAGGTATTGTAATAGCAAGTTACGGTTTTATTGAAAACTGCACTAATTTTCAAACAAATTATTTTTGAGGAACGATGTATGTAGTCATAGGTTTTATATTTTTATGAATTGGTTTAAATTTATGTAAATATTAAATGATAAACAGGAGATATATGATTTTTCATACGCGTAGGTACAGTAAAGCAGTATACACTATACATGTTGCACGTGTTACCTGTGGATTGTTTAAATGTTTTATTCATTATGTGATTTTAGCTTTATGACTTAATTAAAAGTACCAAAAATAGAGTAAAAATGCATATATAGTTCATCCAATCTTAATTTTAACTTCGGCTAAGTTATTATTCCTTACAACACAGTAGGTTTTGACGAATTAAAAAAATGTATCTATCTACACCTACTCTTTTATGAAGTCTAATCGTCTTTCCCCATAGATTTTAATTTATTATCACACGTAAAATATTTTTTTAAATTTTAAAAACGATGTTATTCCATTGTGCAATGGGGACGTAGAAAAAAATAATAATCAAATCGTTTTGTGTTAAGACTCGTGTACTCGTGTCTTGTTGGTGAACTTAATCTGATACCAGTAAACCACCCGGTAATATCGAAATTATCCTAAACCTGATATTACACGTAGCATATACCTATATATAATAGAAAAGTCCTAAATTGTTTTTTTTTCCATTTACTCAAATTACATAAATCAGGCTCAGAGTGCGCACGTCTTAAATTGCTACTGCACACAATTTCAGGACTCGCTACAGCAGCGGTTTAATGCAATGCCGTTTTATATACTTATATATTGATAATACAATACGAGTATATGTATATATACTGGATGATACGTATTTCAGCCAATGAGAACATTTCTTTATTTTTGTAACCTCGAGTTGAAATAATATATTATACGCACAGTTTCAATGCTTTATTGTTATTCCACTTTTAGAATTTCGGATTTTCTATAGTACCTATAGCATACCTATTACCTATGTGTATTATACTCGTTATTAAGAATATTATCTTACTTAAACTACTTGCTGTAAAATTTCATCGGACGGTCAAAGAACATTTAGACCGGTTGGAAAAAATCAAATTCAAACCGTTTGGACAAATTATTGTTTATACAGGAAAAGGAAAACTTTATTAACTTACAACTTTAAGGAAAATCGTTTTTATAAAATTTTTAATTATTTATTTCAAAGTATGTGATTAATAATTTCGATATCTTGAACTCTTCCGAAGTTAATTATATTTGAAAATGCAGTATGCACCGTTATCTAAATACTAAAACGTCCTATATCTAGTATAAATTTCGAGGCGCTTTTGTCTTTCACTCCGGTAAATACGCACCCTACTTAATTCCGCCATTGTCAACCGAAATAACTTAATATTATGCTGTAGATCTATAATACTTAATATTATATAATAATATGTATATTGTATTGGATATGAGAATCTAAAATGAAGGGACCGTAATGCACAATACATACTATTATAATATATTGTGAGTCAATTTACCAAGGTGATCCTTAGATTTTTCAAACCTATACATTAACAATAGGAACAAATTAAACAAACGTACAGTCGAAAATCGTTTTTGGCTAAACGAACACCGATAAAACATACGACAACGACTATAATAATTGCAGTGTAGTCGTAAAATGTATGACAGAAGAAAATATAATGGTTACCCACTTACCACGAGTATATATCAAGATATTATATACTGTGGTCGTCTCGTCCAACATTACCGTGGTCAAGGTATACGAAGACCTGCGGGCTTATACAACCTCAGTTGTAGGTACCTCACAATAAAATTCAAGGATGGACGCGTACGAAAAGTTGCCGGTGAAAAATGTATCGTTGAAACCCTGTGAGGTTCTACACTCAAGCGGTCCGACCACGGTAAGCACGGTAGATGTAAAGGTAACCATACTATTGTTTACCTAACTCACAGCGAGTGGGTAACCACTAACCTTAATATTTTCCATCGGACAGCCTTATAAAACGATTGTCGCCACCATTTTCATTGTGTCCATTTCCATATACTGTCCAATTCTATCGCACAGTTTTCACGTTTTTTTCCTCAGTTATTTCGTCATCGTATGTGTTGTGCAGTGCCAGTGCGAAGTTTTCAATTAGCCGTTCACAAGTGTACAATTATTCAGTGTAGTGGCTATTATCGTGCGTTATAGTCGGTTCGTAATAATTCGTATCACATAATAAATATAGCATATTGTATAGGTAGGTAATTACCATATTATATAGGTACTCAATGGAATTACCTATATTCATTATTACAAATTAATTACTAAGTATGAATTATGGTTCAGGATCATAATTCATACCTAGAGGCTAGCTGTAGAGAACGGATGGTATTGTAATTATATACATATTTTTACCCAGTTGTACAATTTGATATCTAGTTAGATATAAAAAATCTTTCAACAACTTCTGAGTAAATTTGTGCTAATTTAACCTTATATATGTGTAGGTATAAACACTAAATACATATTTTTCATATTTGATAAATAATAAGTAAGTACATAATATTATATTGTAAATATTTTAGGACATTTTCATTATTTCCTATATGCTTTTAAATTATGTATTTTTTAACATTCTGTGTTTCACCATCATGTGTCGCTATTATTTTTTCTTCTTATATAGAACTTTTTAAAATCGAAATATGTGTAGTTTTTGTATAAAAATAGTTATAATGTTCAAAGTTGAAAATTCAGATAATAAGTTAACTGAATACTTAGCAGAATTCCTAAATGAAACATTTCAAAGTGATCAAAAAGTTCTATATTCAACATGGTGTGAAAAATCATTAAGGTCAGTACTTTCAATTAAGTCAACATATGATTTCTTCTACCAAACAAAAATAAGGAGGTGGATGGTAACGTGGATGGTTCGTTATTGTTAGTACCTAACTTAGTTCTGAGCCAATAGTAATAATTCGTTCATTTTAAACTGTAAGCATTAAGTAAATCAATAATAAAGCCACCTAAGTTGTTCAATGATTTAATGGATTTATCATGGCCTGGAGGCGTACATAATGAAAATATATTTTGAATTGTATAAACAACAAATATTTGTTTTAATCTAATCTTGTTTTTTTTATTTACAAAGCTATTTCAATAAATTGTAGGTCCATAATTTGGTTTTTTTTATTACAATAATATCTGTAATTCATAACACAATAGGCACTCATAATGTCCAATTAAAGTTTTCAAAAAGTTGAGTGTGCTCAAAAGTTCAAATATAACGATAATAATTTCACATAAGTACGTTATATTGTTTGGAATTTAAAAAAAATAAAATATAAATAGTTTTGATTGTTGAAAATCCGTCATTTTTGTGTTTTTAAACTTGAATAACTAACAAATTAAGTGAAAATTATATTGAAAAAATAATAACGACATCGTATAGTCAAAGTTTTCGTATTTTAATGGTATAAATTTGTTGTTTTATTGTATTATATTTATGTATACTCTTTTTTGTTCACACTAATAATAATTTTACTATAAGGAAATAACTTGAGTAAATTACTTTAAATGAGTATCTACTGTAGTAGCGTTTAAACATCAAACTGGCCTATGCCGAATCCCCATAAAAACAAGTTATGACTTAGACGAGCATATAAATTATAAAAATATACACAATAATTTGTACTCACTGTATACGACCATGGGGTGCCAGGCGGACCTGCGTTCAGAGTTCCAGTCCTCCACTTGACACCTGTACTCGCCGGTGAGCTCGGCGGTGGGCCGTTCGACCCGGATGACCCGGTGCAAGTACGACCGGTCGGCGCGCGGGGTCTCTGCGGTGACGTCAACCGTGCGTCCGCTGAGCGGGCCCAGCCCGCCGCCAGCCTCGGGCCCGCCGCCGGCTATCCACTGGTACACCTGTTCGTTGTCGTTGATGATGGCCATCGCGTCTTTGGGTGCTGCCGGTATGGGGTTGCGCCGGAAGTACCACTTGACCACCAAGCCCCGTAGCCGCTGCACCTCCTCCATGGCCGAGTCCATGGCCAGGTCCGGTGCTGGCGACGATGACCGCCGGTCGCGGGCGCCGTTCGCGGTGGACTCAGTACCGTTGACCGGCCGCGGGTCCGTCGGCACGATCACGTCGCCGTTCTCGTCGTCGTTCTCGCCACCCTCCAACGCGTACACGCAGCCCAACAACAGTGGCGGAGGCACGCCGCCGATCGCAGTGGCCGCCGGGTCGGGTTTGGCATCGTATGACCGAACCACCGATGGCACGTCCACCCTGACCACTCGCACAATGTTTACGGGTGTCAGCGCCGCTTGGTCTGTGAACAAACAAAAACATCAGTTTTCAATAGTTTTTCACTTTGCGAAAAAAAGTCTAGTTTCGAATCACGGAAAAAACTATGTGTATTACTGATATGAGTCATGGATTCGATTCCGTTTTCACTGTGTCAAAAAAAAAACCAAAAAAGAGTTGCGGTCTGTCAACTGAACGTTATGCATTTTTGTTAAATTAAAAACTAGCATATAGGTACCTATACTAATAATATGTCTCTTCGTAAATGTCAGATGAAAAAATGTTTTTCATCCAGGCATATGTCTGGATGTACAAGGTACCCATGTGATTATAATTGGGTGCGTTAGAAATACTTGTAAAAAGAATATGATGTTTGTAAAAGATTATAAAACTGTAGATGTTTTATTATTTTTTATCACAATGGATATTAATATTTACTATAGTTTAATATTTTGAATTTTCTGACCCAACTTAGACAAAATTAACGGGATAACTAACAATGATGTTTAAACATCTAAAAAAATGTTCATATAAACAAATATTTACTGAAATAAAAATAATACGTTAATTTAACTGACCTCTATATTATATATATTATGATACGGCGTCGTATACAATACACATAATAGTATCCATAATATTATATAATGGATAGTATTTATATTTAATATATTATACATACGACATATTCTTTTTTCTATTATAAAATTCTTTATTGTCTATTGCGTGGTCGACCATAAGATTGTGACAATAAATTACAAATTATATTACTTTATATAAGGCAGCTGTTGTATATATAGCATGTAAACAGCAAAGTTTGACTATTTCCTATTACGTCGCTATAACCGATAAATCACCGGGCCGATATATTATTTTGAAACTCCCTCGGTTAGTATAACACGGTTTATATCATGATGATCAATTCAAACACAAGTAGGTACAGAAATCGAAAAAAAAATATTACATAATAATGGAATACACTTTAACAAGGTGTAATCACTCTGAGGATAAACGATGCGACTATTGAGACATAATATGCGTCTAATATAATAGAAAACAATATATGACAAGTATGTACAATAATAATAAATATAAAGAAGCCATTGCGGCAACGACTATATTGTGTAAAATTCTAACGAAAACTATAGGTACATCGCTGAAGTCAAACAGCAATATAACAGCTCTGACAGTGCTGGCAGGTGTACTGAATTATGATAATATTACACAGGCTTTTAAAAAGTTTCTGTTTTTTCAACCAAATACATCATCGGCGAACAATATTTATTTTTTTTTTTGGTGGGAGGCGTAAATTCAAAATTGTAAAAATATTAGTGACAGCTATCTAAGAAAAATAACGTGCCATACTAGGACCAAGAGGTGTACGGCGTTTGATATACATCATAAAATATAATATAATATTATTATTATGTGAGGAAAATACGAGGTCGGCCGACCTTATAATATATACCCCATGGGGGTAAAAGTATGAGGCCGATAGGTGCAATGTAATCGGACTCTTGAAAAAAAAATATATAATATTATACATGTGAATAAAAAATTACTGTTTCGGCTTCGGTTCACGCACAACCCAACGTTATATACCTAAGCGGCCTACGACGATGTATATCAATCAAAACGAGAAAAGTATCTATGCGTTTGTACAATAATATATTTCTAACAAAACTATAGATAATAATATTGCTAGTATATACCTATATTATATTATAATATGAATAATTTGGTTTTTCCGAGTATACTCGTGGGAAATTTCTAACGTAATAATAATATTATTTCTCTCTCTCAGCACAAATATATAATATAATATAATATATATATATATATATATATATATATATAAATATGTATATTCGTATATTATTATATGTTTTACTATCGTACGTTCGGAGGAAAAATATAATATTATAATGTAATATAATAATACAAAATTGGAAAAAATTCGTATTTCCGTAGACAATGTATAATACTGACCACATTGTTGACTGCCTATGTTTGTTTACATGTAACCACCGATGCCGAAAAATACACATATTATTACTATTATAACCAATTCGGCCGAGTATAACGGTGTACAGGCCGACCGTAAATGTTGCACATAATAATATCTGAATATCTGATGGCGTAACGATATCGAAGGCTGCGGACCGCGTGGTCTCTTCTGCTGTAGCACACTTAATTCGACATGGTGTCTATTATTTTGGCAGTTACGACAGATGTTCGGAACGTCAAGATAATGTTGTAAAAAAAAAAAAAAATGCTTACACTCGCCGACTATGCATTATGGTTGTTTATTTCTAATTGGCTCCAAATTTCAAAACAAGAAACATAAAAAAAGAAAGAAAAGAAAAAGCTGTATACATAACGTGGTACAAGATTGTGTACAGTATACCTAATTATTAAAAACAAAAAAAAACCCGATATTGGGATCGGTACCTTCTGAACAGAAACCTATCCGGAACCCTTAGTTTATTATCTGAGTGTAGGGGCTACGGTCTACCGATGTATGGTGTCCGGTAGTATAGATTTTTATGGTTCATAAATTCAAATATTATTTTATTATTCTACAATTAGTTTAAAAAATATACATATAATATAAGTACATAATAGTATTGTAGATAAATTTAAAAAAAAAACTTAATATTCTTTTCTACATTTTTTTTTAAGATGAAAGTTAAGTATTTATGTATTTTTCTTTTTATCGCTTTGAAGTCACAGATTGCAAAGTCCTAAAACTAGAACTGCAAAGCTTTTTTTTCTGTAATTTTAAGAACCAAAATCGAAATCAGAATCAAAAAATAACTTTAAATGTTTTATTCTCTGGCGCGTCGATCAGATTGTAATTATTATTGCCCATAATATACGCTAACAAAACGTGCACTATAATAGTATATAGTAACGTACGATAGGTACTCCCGAATGTATTAATATTGAAACATTTATAACCATATATTATGTTTTACATTGACGAATGACTACAGTAAACTTTCATACTACATCCATGATACATATTATAGGTAATGGATAGATGATTCCGAAATACAGAGTTTGCGTACGAGATAAATCAAGTAGCTATATAATAGTAATATCATGACGAGGGATTTAGGATTATAAATTATAAGTCGTATAATGTACAATTATAATATATAATAATATAAACGTGCCAGTAGCTGAATAGAGAGAATTAAAGGTGCGAATTAATGTACGTTTCGTAAATGCGAATAAAGTCCCAAAGACCATGTTAGAAGTTAGTATATAGGTAAGGTAATGGGACGTATTATAATGTAAGACATTATCGTGTGCAGGCTAGTGAAGATCGTAACTTATAATCAGCAATTCGCATTCTCGGACGCAAACAAATGTGAAACGACTATTATACCTAATATATACATAATATTATTATAATATACAACTGGTACACACGATGTAAATTATAATATCAGTCATCACTCATCAGACTATATAATACCATTGTACTTAGGAATAACGACGAAACTCTAAATAAATGGCATGGGAATAATACCATTTTTGGGCGGTCCGTAGTGTAATGGGCCGCGTTATGGAAAAATGATTTTTAAACGAACGTCAAATCGGGCAATGGGCTGTGAAACCGACAATATAACCAGCCAATAGGTAGGTATAAGAATATTTTATACACTGTAATATTTGTACAATATCTATGCCTACATGTAATATTATATTGTGTCGCTGTCTGAGCAATTATAAATCTACGCGCGAGCACACGCGTGAGGTGAATTTCCTTCCGGCAAACGGTGGTGGAGGTGGTGGTGGTGGTGGACTTCCGGTGTGGGACTGGTAGACGACAAAACGTGCGGGTGGGATTGTGCTGTACTGGCGGGGTGGTGCCAGGTGGATAGATCACGGTGGGTGTGTTATAAAAACAGACGATCCGAGACAATAATAAACGGCCGGATGACTGGACACGAGCGCTTCTCGTTCACATAATATTATTATTATTATTTATTATTATTGTTGTCACGTAATCCGATATCGTTTTAATAGTGGCCTTACGCGAAAAAAAAAAGAGGCAATATATAATGAAGCGTTGGCGTCCGTCTTCGCCGGGGTCGTGCACGGGTTTTCTTCGGGGAGAAATCGAAACCGAACACGTCTTACCGGATGTATCGTATATAATATTTCCCGTCCGAGACGAAATCTTAGTTATTCTAGTATTCTACGACGACGACCCCCACGTATATACATATATTGTGAGCCTCCTCCGTTGTAGTGTTATACGCCTTCCAGGAGAAAAATACAATTTATTTCGGAACTATATAGCTTTTATTTTCGAAATCTTATTAAGACTAATGGACGTTTCAATGTTGCATTATATGCGCACGCTGTATATTATATAGTTATAATACTGGTCATGTGTAATATAGCAATATAGCATTATAGACGTACACGAGTATTATATTTTGGCGACTTATTATATTATATTGTTGTACATTTTCATTCGTGAAATGTTGTTTTTTTAACGCAGTCGATTCGTCGAAATTCATAACCGATTATTTAGTAAAGCCCGTCTTTATAAAAACGTTTTTATTTTCTATTTCAGAGTTACTTCCGCGGACTTTAGCGATATTAAGTGGAAATAAAATTATATATAAACGTATAGTAAATACATTGTACTCCGTCGAAATACGGATACCTAAAGAACGGAACGTGGGCAAAGCCGGTAAGAACGTCGGTCGGATCTTAAATCATATTTTCCAAAACCAATTATTTTCTGTCGATAAGTGCAATTAATTCAAAAAATGTAGGTATGTCATACGTGCACCCTTAAAAATAGTGAGAGACGGGTCAAAATGTAATTTATGGCATTAATGGATTAAAGAAAATCGAAAGATGTCGTAATGTTTATAATATAGTATATTAAATATATCAAAATATATTATAGTGTACTTTCGATGAGTAGCGGTATACCATAAATATAATGCGTTCGCTGTGTTTAAAATAATATACTTAGCCTCATCACTAAAATATTAT